CGGCCTGGACTCCAGATTCCAAGAGCAGTGCTGGCCAACGGCGCGATGACTCATCGGGCGAAGGGATAAGGGAGGAAGACATGGCAGTTACAGGAATCCCCTCTGCGTTCCCAAGCAGCAGAGAGAAGGGCCGGTCCAGGCCCGGGGCACGGCTCTCAGCCGGGAAGTCCCCGTCCCCGTCCCCCTCCCCACCAAATTCCCCGGAGCACAGAACCAGCCGGGAGGGCTTTCAAAGGAGCCAGCGCGGCCGAGAGGGGCATCCCCGCCGGCCCGGCCGCACCGCTGCATGTATGTGAAAGCCTGGCTGGCAGGGAACACGCAACGGGCACTCACACACACAGGAAGGGAACACGCAACCCGCCGCCTAGACACACATGCTGCTAGCATGTGTGGGGCAGCCAGCCATGGCGCGGGAACAATTCGCATCCTGGGGGAGCGGAGACGTTGAACTAAACTGTAACATCCCCTCCCCCCCTTGTATGGGATGGCAACCACATCAAGCCGGGGGTGCTGCCTCCCCCACAATTACACAAATAAACAAGCACAATTACCCAGACACACAAATACAAATACATACACATACACAATTACACAAACACACACCCACACAAATACATAGTCACACAAATACACAAACACACACACAAACGATACAGACACAGACACACAAACACACACACATTCACACAAATGCACAGACACAGACACACACAAACACACACACACAGACACACACAAACACACACACACACAAATGCAGACACAGACACACAAACACACACACATTGACACAATGCACAGACACACACACACAGACACAAATGCACATACACAGACACACAAACACACACACAGACACAAATGCACAGACACAGACACACAAACACACACACATTCACACAAATGCACAGACACAGACACACACACACACACACACACAAATGCACATTGACAGACACACACACACAAACCCGCACCCCTAGTTCCAGCACCTCTGGGTGCCAGGAAGCCCCCCCCTCGCCCCAGGCGGGGCCCCGGGCCGGCCGCAGCGCAGGGGCGCGGTACCTTTCTGCTTCTCCATGGCGGTGGCTGCCGGGGGGCGCTGGGGCAGGCTCCGGCCGCCCTCTCCTCCGCGAGCCCCGGCCCCAGCGCAGCCCATGCCGGGAGGGGAGGGGAGGGGGAGCCCGGGATTCCTGCACGAAGGGCCGGCCCCAGCGGCAGCCGCCTTCGCAGACGTGCCGGAGCATCGCTGCCCCCTGGCGGGCGAGGGCGGTCCTGCCACGGGGCGCCGGGCCCTACAGCTCCGAGGAGCCGCTAGGGGCTGGGGCTGGGGCCGAGCCCGGTCCACGTGCAGTGTGGACACGGGCCATGCCCCGGGCCCGAGGCAGAAGGTCCGTGCGATGCAGCAGGGGCCTGGGGACACAGGTCCGCAAGGACTGGTTGCAGTGCAGGGCCGGGCGGGGGCAGGACTCCGGGTTTGCTGGCTCTGCCATTAGCCTGCTCTTGCTGTGTGACCTGGAGCACGTCACTTCCCTGGCCCGGGCCTGTGACAGGGGACTCTGTTGGGTCTCCCAGCTGGCGTGGGAGGAGGCGGGATGGCTCCTTGAACCCCCTAGTCGCATAGCCCAGCGGAAGAAGCAACTTCCCGTTTCTTACAGGCCCTGTCCTGCTGCAGCCCGGGGCCCTGGCGGCTCTGCCAACCGCTCCCTGCTGGCGTTTGCCCCCGCTTCCTTTCCCCTCTGCGCGACCCCCACCCGCCTGAGTTGGTTGACCCGGGTTCGAAGGGCTCCTGCCCTGTCTCAGCGCAGTGCAGACTGACCCTGCAGGTGTGGGAGAGAGAGGGGAGGGGGCCCACATGATAGCGGCTGGGAAATGCATCCAAATGGGAAACCCTGAGAAGGCCGGGGGATCGATACGGACAACGGGACACTTCCGGCATGTCTACACGGCAGCTGCCCGGGTAGGCAGACTCGCTCTAGTGGGGCTTGAGCAAGCATGCTAAACCCAGCAGTGTGGACATGATGGTTTGGACTGCCAGCTCTGGCGCTCACACCTAGGAGGCCAGGGACCTAAGAGGGAGTGTTTCCTAGTGCTTAGAGCAGTAGGTGTAGCAGTCAGGGACTCCTGGGGTTCTTACACCTCACGCTTGGAGCTGAATACCGCCAGCCCTCCAACTTGGGACACAATTGGTGCCTGAAAATTGGGTCGTATGTTTTTTTTCTTCTCATATCTAGTCAGTTGTCTATGCACGTCCATTTAACCATTTCTTAAAAAATTCCACGCACCCCTGTATTCTTCTGTCCCGGTTCCAGTACAGTGACAGGGAGGCAGAGGGCTGGTTCAAACTCCTTTCTGTGCCGTTTTTTGCTGTCCCTTCCTTCCAATTAGGGGGATGAGGGATGACCCCTCTGCCGGCAGGGGTGGCTTTAATAAGGGAATCCAGCCCGTCATCCCCACGAATAGCAGGCTGCATGTGCCAGGAGCGATACCCATTCCTTTGAGATCCTCGAGGCGTTACCTGCCCGTGCCAGAGAGATACGCAAGAATTGCAGCACTGTGCACAGTCCGGTAGCGCTGACTCGCCCATAGCTCTGCGCGTCTTCAAGGGTCCGAGGATACGAGCCACTGGGAGCTGCCGTCCTGCTCTTTGTGAGCGAGAAACTGCCTTGGCCTTTCCTCTGTCCCCTCCGGCCGCCACCAGGGGAGACCCCATCCCTGAACCGTCGTCCTTTGGAAACGCAACTCCGCTGTGGGACCAGGCGTTGGGAAGCCAGAACCAGCATCAGAAGGGGACTCGGGTGGGCAAACCAGAGGGGCTGCCGGGTGGCATTTGCCACCCATGGAACGTGGTCGAGTGGAGGCCAGCAGGGAGAGCAGACAAAATCAACCATCTGGACTGCTGGGCTCAGTGCCTGGACGCTCTTGGGCAGTCATGGCTCTTTGGCTCTCACTTTCCCCGCCTATCACCTCAGATTAAAAATATCCCCGAGGGGTGTGGGAGGGAGGCCGAATTTCGCCAGGCCGGTACAATGCTTGTCTGCAAGGTGATCGTTCACACCACTCTAAAGCTAACAGGAATAAAACCAGGGGCGGCAGGTGTTGAATAAAGCCATTTCACCTTTAATTAGAAGCAAAAAACCACTCACATGGAATCTCTGACACCAGCAAAAATTAAACAGAGGAAGTGAATCACTGTATTCAAATCAGAAAAAAAATCCATATTCCTATATATATATTTATAGATATGTCGTCTGTATCAGTAGCAGTGAAAGGCAAGTATGGGCCACGGATTTCCCAATAAATTACATTCTTTACATCCCGACAGAGTGTGCGGAGAGGGCCACTGGGATGGGGAAGCGTGAGTGCGTGGGGCTCGGGCCAGCACTGGGGAGCAGTGGGGTGCACAGTAGAAAAAGGATCCAGCGGGGGAGCTGGAAGGAGCAGCAGTTCAGGAAATCCTTTGGCGAATGGGGTGGGAAGCAGGTCCCCTATTCGACGGCTGGTTATTTTAAAAAGACCCCAAAGCCCAGGGCATTTTTAGCTCCATGGGTTTGCTCCTGCAGGCCTGGGAGGTGCCGCGGCCCAGATGGGATGGGGGGGATCTGACCCCTGCGCTCTCCTGCCCCCCATGAGGAACTCCCCCAGATGTCAGGGAGCCAGAGTCACCACGGATCAGCGCCACGCCGATCTCTGCCGGGCACGGCACAAGCCTGGCTTTCCGGCTAAAGGCCCTGCCGTGGCATCCCCTCTGCTCCTTCACCCTGCACTGGCTACGGCCTCCCCCTCGCCGGCAGGGAGGCATCTAACCAGGCTCGGAAGTGTTGCCGCTACCTAAGGAAATTCCACCCGTGGGCACCGAGAGAGCCGGCTTGTCTGAGACCTCCTGGGCCTACCGGCCCCATCTGCTGAGAGTCCCTCCCGCCCCCGTTTGGGGTATGTCCTACAGTGCCCGGTCTCAGGGCCAGCTTCCCCTGGACCAACCGGCTCTCGGCACCCTGTGGGAGTGTCCCCTTTAACGCCGGCGGGGCTAACTAGCCTCGGTGACCAGCTCACCCGCAGCAGGCAGGTCTGGTTGTCACTGGGCATCTCTTGTCAGCCCTCTCGTCACCAGGTGCGTGGCCAGGGGACAGCCCGGCATTGGTGGCAGTGTGCTGCTGGCACAGTCCCCACTGAGGGCTCAGGGCCGGCAGAGACGGGGAGGGGGACACCCGAGCTGAGAGGACCGAGGGGGGTGGCTGCCGGGGATCGCCTGCCAGGCGGGGGGTGTTTCTAGACTCTGGGCTCAAGCCCAGGCAAACTCCTCTGTCAAACTTGGGCAGGGCCTTGGGGTCAGTGGGGAGGGAGCAAAATCATCAGCTACCAGGACTGAAAGAGTGGAGTACAGCACACCCCTCCCCCAGGGGCAGCTGCAAGGGGGGGGGGGGGGCTGTGGGCTGGGAGCCTGGGTTGTGGGGTTAGAACGAGGGACCGAGCCGAGGGGGGTACGGGTGGGAGTGGGAGACTGAGATGACCGCAGGGGGTTGGTTCTCGTGCTCTAGTGAGGGATCCTTGGGCCCCCCCAGCTTCGCCGAGGGGGGCCTGATTCTGATGAAAGGGCCCCTGCTCTGGGGCGGGGGGGCTGCTCATAAAGTTGTCTCCCTTTGGGGCCTACGCTAAGCAAATGGCAGCCCCGAGGCCGAGTGGCCACTTCGGGACCACCCCCCCCAGGGTTCCG